TTTTATTATTATTATCATTATTATTATCATTAATATTAATATTATTACTATTATTATTGTTAATATTATAGCTACTTCTCAGGTGTTAAATAGTACTGACATTTTTAGATGGGTTAGAGACAATTGACAAAATGCATTAGATAGGGTTTTTCCGTTTCTTTAAAGTACTGGAGAGTTCAAGGAAATACCTATTGTTTTCTCTACCTGGAAAACGCCACAGCCATCAGGCAACCCAGCTCATCAAACCCGCCCCCGTACCATCCATGCTACTAGAACTGTCCGTATAGATGGACAACTCCTCATGCATGCATAGCCCTTCCACTCCAATCTTCCCTTTGTGAAACCACATAGCCGTATTCAATCCTCCAGTCGGTATATGGCAGCACAAAGATAGACCCCATGTCCTTATACCGCGTTCCATATTCTCCCAGAACCCTACTGTGTGTATATTCTCTGTTTTTCATCGCTTGTATCCTTAAGGCACTCCTCTCAGCCACCGCTGTCACCGTCTTAACTCACCCTATCACATCAAGGCAATATAAAAGATTACAGAATAAAACAATGTGAAGAACATTTTGTCGGCAATTTTTTCATATCTCTGTAGCTCAGTTGGTAGAACGTCCACTTAGAAAACAATAGGTCACTGGTTCGAGGAGAAAATGTTTTTATATTTTCTGCCTTTAACTCGTTCCTTTGATTACGTCATCCATCTGTTCTGCATTTGTATGAACAAATTTCCATCAAGTTAATATTATTAATGTAATAGACAAATTACTTATTAATTAAAACAACAACACGTTGTATTAGTAATTTAGTATAAATGGGTTATACTTTTCGCTCAAATCAAAATAACTCCTATATAACAGTCATACGAAGAGCCGGAGAAGTTTACAAAAATTATTCAGAATTAATACTAGAAATATTAGAATATTAGAAATAATATTTGAAAAAATACAAAGAAGCAGAACAGTTAGAGAAAGATGGCAACAAACGCGCGATCCTAATAATAAAAGAAATGGCAACCGCGAATCTCCACAACTTAAACGTAGTATACAGAAACATAAGCAGGATTCGATTTCCAGATACATTCAGAATTTGGCCACCAAGAAAATAAAGCAGCCTGTCAAGCATTTTGCGCCTTTTAAAAATAAAAATGGTATTTGGGAAAAGAGTGACAAAGACAAGGCGTTTGTTAATCATGTAACTGACATATTTATGTCACATGCCGGTCAAGATATGTTGGAGAGTCAGGAAACAAGTTTCATTGTCCGAAGCGTAGCTAAACCAATTTTTAGGGAGAGAATAGTTGTTGCAGAGATCAAGTGTCTTCGATGCGAAAAAGCACCAGGATTTGACCTAATCATATCTAATATACTAAAGCAACTACCCAAAAAGGGAGTTACAATGCTTTCGCGTCTCACTCTGATGCCTGTATAAAGTTCAAGTTATTGTCTGGCATTTGCAAAGTTGCAGAAATACTTATGCAACACAACCTGGCAAACCATTAAAAGAAGCAGTTTATTACAGACCAATCCTTTGGTGCTGATAATTTTAAAATTGTTCGAAAAATTATTGCTAAAAAGCCCTCCACCAGTAATTGAAAGTAAAGATTTGATCCTGAATCATCAGCTTGGCTTCCGAAGGAAATACTCGACGATAGGTCAAATTCTTCGAATCTCTGACATAATAGAGAATCCTCTCGAAGAAAAACAAATATGCTTATATCATATTTTTGGACATTTTATCAAAGCCCAAGCTTTTGATAAGGTGTGGTACCATGGGTTAATAAATAAACTCAAACAATTACTGCCGAAGCAGTATATTCAACAACCTTACTGATAGGGTATTTCTTCGCTTAGAGATATTGGGTCCGGTGTACCACATGTAAGCATATAGGGACCAATATTATGCTTATTGTATAATTGTGATATTCCAAAACATCACAAACAACGGCAACATTTGCAGACGATACTGCAATAATTTCAATGGGAAAAAATGTAAATGAGTCAACTAATAACTTACAGAGAGTCAGTAATGAAATCACGAGATGGACTAAAAGACGGAACATGAAACTTAACGAGGTGAAATCGAACCACGTAGACTTCACCAATAGGAAAATTGATAATTCTCTTTCAGTCTCAATCAATGGTGTCATAATTTAACATGCAAATTCAGCAAAATAATTGGGTATAACGTTAGATGTCAAGCTCAAATAGAAGGAGCCCATAAAGAAGCAAAAAGCTCATATAGAAGAAAAATATTGGGAACTCAAATGGCTTCTGGAAGAGATTCATCATTGTCAATATATAATAAAGTTTTGGTATTTAATCAAATATTTAAGGGAGTCTGGGATTACGGTATTCAAATATGGGGCAGCACTGTGCTGACTCACATTCAATGTATTCAAACATTCCATAAGATATCACGAGACATCGTTGACGCTGATCATGACGAAATATCGAGATATACACAGAGATCTCTAGATGTGTCTAGACGTGTTCTAGAGTCGCAAACGTAATCAAAAAGCAAGCAGCCAATCATAAAATTAATTAGTCCGAACATGTCAAGATCGAGGCGGCTCGTCTGGTTGAAAATGAAAACTTTGTTAAGAGATTTAAACGTACGATACCTATTGAGTTATCTTAATGTTTTTTCTTTGGAACAAGAAGTAATTTTCTTTGTGGAAAATCAAAAACGAATGAAATTTCAAAAACGTTAGACCAAAATTAACGGTTAGTCATTTTCAACTAGTTTTATTGATTAAATATGACGGTTGTTTTTAGTGGATTAAATTCCAACACTACTGCTCTTTCGTCCAGCAGTGTCTTTCGAGATTTTCATCCCCTACAAGTACCCATACTTTTCCATACCTCAGAAGTAGCTATATATATATAACTAAATTGTGTTCCATTCTGTGCGTATTTCTGTAATATACTTTGTTTTTCAGAAACACACCCATAATATACATATAAGTAGGTTTTTCTTTCTAATAAATAATAAGATAATACCTAAAATAAGGAAAGTTCCTAAAAATAATTACAAATAAAGTTGGTTCAAAGCAATGGTTTGTATTGTAGTACTTTTCCCTTTAAAAAGTGAAAATACTGCTTTGAAAAACAATATATACAATAACCACAATGAAAATAATTTTTCATCCATATACTAAACTATCTCAAGGATGAACGGTTTATGCAATTTTTGAAATAAAGCAAAAATTTATTTTAACAGGAGCTAACATAATGCTCGATTTTAAGGGTAAATTGTGTGAATTAAGAAAAAACTTTATATTTTTTAATAGCATAGAATTTACCATTATCTGTCTGAAATTTATAGAAATTTATAGAAATTTGAAAAATCTTGCGGTTTTACTAATAAAAGGTACCAAATATTCAAAATTTACAAATTTCAGACTTTTACAACCTGCGGTTTAGGAGAAAAAGAACATAAAAAATTTGGAAAAAACCGATTTTATATAACGGTAAATTTTAACGACCGTTTTATTTTTTTAAAGTTCAAGTATAGTATGCCGTGATAGAAGAAGCAACCCAGTACTTTTCTGCGTTTGCAAAATTTGAAAAATGCATACGGTTCTACTACAATAAATAGTTGAAAAATAGCATTTTAAGGGTTTTTGGATCGATATAATTTTTGGAACGAGGAGATAGGTGAAAATTATGTTCTTCGAAAATCAGTTTACACATAAAACCTATGTACATATAAAATTTCAGGTTTCTATCTTCAAGGGTGTAGAAGTTTTGTAAAGAGTCACACGGACAACGGATGGACCGACGGAGTGTATCTAACAAGCATTTTTTTCAAAAAATGTTTTTAAAAGTGCTAAAAGGTACATAGCTAAACATAGATATAATTCTTTGAGATTTAATATGTTTCGAGTAATTTATTTGAGAACCTCGCTTTGAGATATGTATGTAAAATTACCTTTGACAATAAGAACTTTAAGCGAGTAATAACTTATACACATAAAATAATTCGCTACTAAAATCCAAGCACGTATGAATTTGGATTTTATAATACATGCGAATAAAAAGGCGTGAATGTATAAAAAGCTAACACTAATACTATATAGGGTATAAAGCATATTTTTGATTTCTATGCAAAGCTCAGATTCGAACCATGGAAAATGCGAATTGTCAGACGAAATGTTTTTTTATTGACACTTTTATATAATTTTTGTTCTTATTTAAAGTGAAATTAAAACACCTTTACCCTTGCAAATCATTATCAGCGACTTTCTGTCCTAAATATTTAAAATGCGGTCACAAAGCATCAGCGGCGAAGGAGGAGGGTGGATGGACCATTTTTGTGGGACACTTGAGGCGAAACCGTATCTAATGCCTTTTGTCCCATGTCTCTAGCCCTTCTAGAAATAATCGTACTTTTTGACACCAGAGAAGTAGCTATATGTACATAATGTAAAATAGGATGGTTTTTGAAGAGTTATACAAAATATGAATAAAATATAGAATTATACAGGGAAATTCAAGGTACTGCGTATCCTGATGGGCAGCGTGATAGTCAGAAGGTTCATAGAACGATGCTTGCCTGGATATTGTCGTATTTTTCAGTTTTTTGAATTATTTTAAATTTTTTTTTGTATTTCGCTTAAATTTTTTGTTTTATTTTTTTTAATATGTAACAGATAATTAATATTTTTATAATAGTATAAGAAAAATTTCCAAGGAAATATTGTTATAATAGTTTGGAAAAAATCGCAAAAATTTTAAGTACGTATTTTTTAAAGCTTCCTAACTAATTTTTTTAAGCTTTCTATATGAATTGAATAATATTCAAAACTGCGCTTTGGCATATAGAAATCAATTTTAAACACATAATTATTAAATCATGGGGGTAAACTTGCAGAAATAAATTTTCCAAATAAGAAAAGGTTTAGGTATTCTAATTCATTTAATATTACTCTAAAACATTTCAATATTATTTCTTAAAAATTTTTTAATAATATTTTAACCTTCACATACAATTTATTTAGTTCCAAGAACCTCTTCAATTTCTAATTGCATTCTGCAAACCTAAATAAACCGTCATAAATTTAAATCCAAAAATAATCAATGCAACAGCATTTCCATAACCTAAAATAGTATAACATAAATATATCAAATATCATAACCCAAAATATATTCTCATAAACATATTAACTTAATGACCTAAAAATAGCTAACAAACAGAGAGAGAGTAAGTGCGAAATGAATGTAACAAGAATCTCGTGTAAGATATAAGTTTAAAATGTAACAAAGGAGAATGGTAAACATATATCTATAAATGGTACTAAATAAAGGAAAATCAGCACACTATAGTGTTTTTATTTGTGCGCAGTTATATTGATACCTTACTATGTAATGGTTTTCATATCTGTAATGAAATAACCGTAGAGTTTGCAACGAGAGTCGGAATGACAAGAACGATTATAGACCACTTTATAACGGATCTGCTGAATGTTAAATATACCCACCACATAATGGAAACTTGTTTATCAGATCACAAAATGTTTTTTATCAGCATAGAACAAAATCCTAGAACCGAATCGATTGCTAAATCTATGACTGTGTTGGACTACAATAAGTTAGTTAATGATTATGATTGGCAATATTTGGAACAACATAATTCATTTGACGAGGTCGTGCATGGATTGAGCAAATTAGTTATTAAACATACACACGTCCTTCCCTTAAAAATCATAAGAAAAAGCACGGATGACGGAAGAAATACTCAACACCATGAAGATTCGAGATACCTTCTTTAAATATTCGAAGAAATACCGAAATGATGCCCGGGTTAGAGGTCTATTTAAAACATACTAGGGGCCCCTGTGGTTTGCTTATAAGCAGCATTGTCTGTTGTAAAAACAGGATTGTGGCAATCAATTTTAAAATAAGTTTAGAAAAATTTGTACATATTATGGCATACATATGCAGGTATATACTTGTATATGCATAAATATTTTGCATATAATATTCATGATTCCGAGTTGAAGTCGCTTCTGTATTTTGACTTTTTCGTTCGAGAATTGCTTCACGATTTGCTGCATAATAAGATTGCATTTGAATTTTAATTTTTTTAGAATTTTCTGTACGATATGCTTTTATATATTCTTTACGTTTGTTTTGTTTGTTATCCATTTTTTAAAAAGAAAAGAATCCGCAATTGGAAATAGTACCTTTCACGTTAAACTTTAAAACCATAGTGAATGTGAATTAATAAAAAATCAATGCCTCTTTTCTTTATACAGACCTGGCTTGGCTACTTACTCAATTGAAATTTCGCAAGCACACGAAGAATAATTGCCTTAGTACGTAACGTAACGTTATTCGTGTTCTTATATCTCTCACAATTTTTAGTTTTACTTTTTTTTAATTCCATTCCATGCTAAATACAACAACAAAAAATTATTTTACTCTTACTTAACTCATTTAAAATACCAATTTTAAACTTAATTTAACTACCCATGAAGAAGTAAATGCCGCAATTGACTCCCTAAAATTGTCATCTGCAACGGAAATGGACGGGATATCGGCAAAATTTATAAAAAAATTTTCACACAGATTAGCACCCATATTAGTTAAATTTATTAACAAAAGTTTTGCAGAATATACCTTTCCTGGCAGCCTAAAAAGGGCTGTGGTGACTCCAATCTACAAGAGCGGAGATTCCACAAACCCATCAAATTATAGGCCTATTTCGGTACTATCTAGCTTTTCCAAAGTATTTGAACGAGTAATAAAAAATCGGCTCGACATGTTTCTGAGAAGCAATGGAATTCTGAATTCTGATCAGTATGGTTTCGAGGAGAACTCCAATACCACGGCGGCTTGTCTGGCTCTAACCGACTTCGTTACCAGAAATATGGACAATGATAAATTTACTGCCTGTGTCTTTATTGATTTGCAGAAAGAATTCGATTGCGTTGACCATGAAATTTTACTTCATAAACTTTCGGTACGGAGCTTTTCGAACGAACAAATTTCTTTATTCAAATCCTACCTAAATCAAAGGACACAATGTCTAAAAATTAGTCAAAATCTGCGCAGTCCCGACATAATAACTAAGGGAGTGCCGCAAGGATCAGTTTTGGGTCCAATCTTTTTCAAGATTTATATAGATGATCTGACTCAACTTGATCTTTGTGGAGCTTTACAACTATTTGCAGATGATGCGGTTATAAAATATGCGGAGAAAAATGAGGCTGACCTTAGAAAAGCTATATTAGGTGATCTTACTCTTATAGACGAGTGGCTTACTAAGAACAAGTTACTGATGAATACTAAAAAAACCAAGATACTACTATTTGAAAATAAGATATTTAATGATAGAACCTTCACTCTAAATTCAACAAATATTGATGTAGTAAGATATCACAATTATTTAGGCCTGCATATTGATAGTGGACTCAGATGGGATTGGCATATAGAGCACATAATTAATAAAATGGCCCCTTATGTGTTTATCCTCAACAGATTAAGAAAATTTCTCGATAAAAATACCCTGTTTGTAATTTATGCATCTTATATTTAATCAAACGTAACTTACCTAAATCCACTCTGGAGTAGAGCTCCACAAATTTATCTTAAAAAAGTTGAGGTTTTGCTAAAAAAAGCAATTAAAATAATTCATTTTTATCCCGTTTTATATCCTACCAGTATGTTATATACGGAAAAGTACCTGAGTTTTCCAAATATTTGAGGGAGCTCTATATTATTGCTTTTAAAATCATGAATAACAAAATAAAGCATAATTTTTTGCTACAGCAAAATTTCCAACTTCACAACCATAACACGCGGAACAAATCTAATTTTTATCTATCTCTTTTCAGAACTCATAATCAAAAAAATAATTGCTTATATAGCTGCCTAAAAGTATTTAATGAATTGCCACAAGAAATTAAAATTATTGATAATATATGTATGTATGTTTAAAAAAATTATTACGAAAAGGATTCTTGATGGCTATTAAAACTAATAAATATTGATACGAATTCTCATTTCGAACTGGTACACCCTGTTGTTCTGTGATATTGTTGAGAAACAGTGGTATATTTTTGTTTTGTTTTTATCATTCATAATTGTTTGTGTTTATCACTTTAATTTTAATTTGATGAGATGATGGAATGATAGTTATGGAACACTTATTGATTGATTGTTCCAATTATGTATATAGCTATGTTGAATAATTAGTGAATACTTGGAGTGAGGGGGACGAAGAGATTAAAAATATAATAGTAGGTATATTTAATAACAAATGTGATTTAAGTTTATAATCGGTTTGATGATGTATTATTATAATAGTATTTGTAGAATTACGATATATGTATAAGTAAATATTTACACAATAAAATGTATATATGTATGTATGAATAAATTATATATTTGTAAATGAGTAAATGTTAATATTGAAGATATTTATTAAAGATTAAATTACAATTAGTACTACTCAAAAAACTTTGTTAGCATAAATTTTGAACTAAAAAATAAATTAATTCTAAACCAGTAGAAGATCAAACAGCTAGAAATTAAGTACCAAAACTTATGAATTATGTAAATTTTTTTTTTTATATGTTACAACATGAAATAAAATAATGAAAAAAAAATTAATAGGGAAATATAAGTAAACTATTTTTAGCAACCTGTCGGTCCGTCGGTCTGTAGGTCTGTCGGTCTGTCAGTCTGTCGATCTGTCGGTCTGTGTGCACATGCGTGTATCTCAAGTTCGGCTGAACCGATTTTAATAAAATTTTATATGTAAGTTTATTTCGACCATGGCATGGATTGATCAGCTTTTGGGATATATCTGGCCTCGGAAACTGCACTTTTTAGCGGGCCTGTTTTACATTTTTGACCATTTTAAAGAATATATTCAACCGATTCGTTTAAAATTTCATATATAAGCTTTGGTCGACTCTCCGCGAAACTTCCAAGCTTTTGGAAGAAATCATGTGTCAGCAACTGGACGTTTACTACGGGCTGAATATACATTTTTGCGTATATAAAGAGAAATAATCAAACGATTTCATTGAAATTTAATATTTAAATTCTTTGTATTGAAGTAATGAACATATAGATTTTTTAGAAAGATAAGGGCTCGAAAACTTATTTACCGGGCCGATTTTACATTTTTCACCATATCTACGGAACGAAGTGATGTAATTTCTTGAAATTTGATATTTGAGTTCTGGTTGTTACCGAAACTAACTGGCGAGCATTACAGGGAATTCGAGTGGCACAATTTGAAATTGTAGTAAGAGCCAAATTTACATTTTTCTAGGTATGTTAACTATAAGCTTACCAATGCCCTAAAGAAGTATTTAACAGTAATTTTTATAATATTCTGTAACATTTTCACTTAAGTAGAAAATGCACATTGCGGTCCGTTATGTGCTGACCACATCAGAGTTTTTTTCATTTATTATTATAACAATAATTATTTATTACATTTATATGATTTATTTATTCGAATACGTTTATAAAATTCAATTCTTTTAAATTACAAATCCCGCTACCTTGCCTGTTCAAAAACTAATAATGACCAAACTCTCTTGAAAATACAAGAAGAATTTCATTTTATACAATACAGATTATTGACAATCAATTCTCGAATAACTGCATTTCATATTAAATTAAAATGTGGTTGTTAAGTGACAAACGTACGTACGTACATGTACACTATACAGAGTATTTCACCTGCCTAAAATTTTTCTTCGCGTCGCTACATTACTCCCCCTGCAGTGTAAACGTTTTAATACAAATATTGGTTTTAATGCAAGTTGTTGGAGAGTGAAAAAAGAAAAGATTTTAGCTGTCTATGGAACTTCTCCACCATTCCATTTGATTGGGGGTGGTAGCCTGCCGTACGAGTCCTATGAATTTCCAACATTTTGTTTAAACTTAAGAAAAGTTTAGACTCGAACTAGGTTTCCTGATCCGTGGTGATTGTAGATGGTACGCCAAAACGTGAAATGTATTGTTCAAGAAAAGTTAAAGCTACCGTTTCAGCTGACATGTCCGCTATTGTATACGCCTCAGGTGAACGTGAAAATCTGTCCACAATAGTCAATATGTAGGAGAAACCGTTTGTTGGCGGTAGTGGGCCAACCAAATCCATATGTATATGTTCAAATCTTCCTGGAGGGACCGGAATTTTATCCGTCACTGACTTAGTGTGCCTTGTAATCTTCGACTTTTCTGCCCTCCACAAAATACCTGAAGTGTTTAACAGATAAGTAAATAGCCAACAATTCCCTGTCGAATGCAGAGTAACGAGTCTCAGCCGATGACAATTTTAAAAAGAAAGAGATTGGTTTCCAGGAGCCCGAATTGTATTATTGCAAGACTGTGCCCACCGCAAAATTTTATGCATCCGCGGTAATGCTGAACATCGCATAATCGCGTGGCTGCACTAGACGCGATGCTGACGTTAGGGCCTCCTTTATCTTTTCGAATGAAACATTACACTCTTCAGGCTACGTGAACTCGGGTTTAGGAGATTTCTTTCGTTTCTGTAAGGCTGTTAGATGCGAATTGATAGGTGTCGGTAATTCGGCGAGATTTGGGATAAACCGGTGGTAGTAATTTACCATTCCCGCAAAACGCTGAGTCTGTTTGATTGATTGAGGTGTGGCGAAATTACGAATGGTACAGAGCTTCTCGCTTGATGGCCTACTGCCTTCACGAGTAACAGTATGACCAAGGAAATCTAGAGTCTTAACGCCTAGCACACATTTATTTGGTTTAATAGCTCAACCAAACTTCGCGAGCCTCTGGAAAACGGTCCCAACATGATTTTGGTGTCCGAAAAATCTCTCCGTGTTGCCTTGCGCTAAAGTCTTGTATGTGGGGTATAGGATACCTGTCAGGCACCGTTACCGCGTTCAATCTGCGATTGTCTCCGCAGGGACGCCATCCCCAGAATCCTTCTTCGGTACCAATTGTAATGGGAATGATACAAACGATGACGAGGGTCTACAGATCCCTAACTGTATCATGTGTTCGAATTCTTTTGTTTGCGATCCTATATTTCTCACGATTTAATCTTTTAGGCTTGGAGAATGGTAATGGGCCTTCGGTAAGTATATTATGGACAACGGAATGTTGTGATACTGGGGCAAAGTCGAGTAAAGCGTTCGGCCTGGAAAATCCTTGAAAAGTTTACCAAAATCATTCACCAAAGAGTAAGTTATAGGGGTTGGAGTATGCACCGACACCACCGAAGCTCTAATTGAAAGGGATGTTGATAGGTCTATTAACTTTTTTTGCTTCAAATCAACGATGAATCCAAATTTTTCTAAGAAATCAGCACCTAAAATTGGACGATTAACATGGGCGACGACAAAAGTATGCGCGAAATTACGACGTAAGCCTAGGTTTACCTAAATTACTCTGGTTTCGTATGTATCTATTTTAGTACTTTAGAAAAATATTTTTATCGTTCCATAAATTCAAAAAGGAATTGGTGAATGGTACCACAGACAAGTCAGCGCCAGTATAGATCGAAAAATTCAAATGGTTTTCTCTATCTCTAGTGAAAAGACAGCTTTTTCTCTATCTCTAGTTGATCGTCCCAACAGCAAGTGCCGTTAGCTTTTTGGAACCGTTGACTTTGCTCCATACTTGCATGGTGCAACACACTTCCTGGCATTTTTTCATTTTGTACGTTTTGCGAAATTAGATCGATGTTTATTACGTGTGGAAGACGGCTTAACCAAAGTTCCTTGATGAATTCCTCACCTGGCATAGCTACTGAACCTGCCAGTTGCTTCAAGTGATGGAAAAACTCTGATGGTCGTCTGTCTCCTTTCTCCTCGTCCGATATTAACTTCTTAATTCTCCTTTCCAAACTTATTGAATGTCTGCTAGTCAGTACTTCCTTTAAATTATTATACAAATTGTTGCCTGGAGGATCCTCCAACACATCCATAATTGACTCGGCAACATCTTGTGGCAACGCTGCGACAACATAATTGTATATTTACTGAGATCTGAGCTAATTCGATTTGGGCCACACTGGATTTACTTTTGAAATCCGGATTCTCTTTAACCAAGCCACTATCCGAATCAGAATCTGCCATTAAAAATCAACAAGGAGAGAAGAAAAAAAACATAAAAAGCAGTGATAAAAATGCCTAAAGGTAAGTTTTTAATGTCTATTATTAATAGCTACTATTAAAAATTAATAAAATTAAAATCTTTTAAATTAGCAAAAAAAATTTTCAAAAAACAATTCACTCTAAATCCCGATCATGTCCAATTTAAATAGGGTTCTGGCACTTACTCCAATAAATCATTTGTGAAAATTTAGTGACCTTAGCTCAATTAGTTTTTGAGTTATCGTTCGGACGGACGGACGGACGGATGGACAGACAATAATAAATCAACTCAGAATTTGACGCTGATCATAAACATACACCTGAGTCTATATCTAACACCGTTATTTCTTAGCGTTACAAACGGTAAAGCAAATTTAGTGTACCCTTCGAACATACGTTCGTACGGGTATAAAAACTTAAATTTTTTCAGGGTAAGTGGTCACTCTAATTCGGGATATTTTTCTTAATTTAAATATTTGGAAAAATAATAAAGTCAGATTCATGAAACTTGGCAGTCATGTGTCCAATTATAGGTCAAATATGTTTGTGAAGTTTTAGTGGAATTGCTTGACAGGTTCGGGCACTTGCCATACAACTCCAAAAGATTATTTTAAATATTTGCAAAAATAATAAAGTCAGATTCATTAAACTTGGCAGTCGGATGTCCAATTATAGGTCAAATATACTTCTGAAGTTTTAGAGGAATTGCTTTACAGGTTCGGGTACCTGCCATACAACTCCAGAAGCTAATTTTAAATATTTTGAAAAATAATAAAGTCCGATTCATGAAACTTGGCAGTTGTGTGTCCGATTATAGATCAGATATATTTGTGGAGTTTTAGAGGAATTGCTTGGCAGGTTCGAATAACTCCCATACATGCCTAAAAGCTTATTCTTAATATTTAGAAAAATAATAAAGTCAGATTCATGAACCTTGGCAGTCGTGTGTCCAATTATAGGTCAGACATATTTCTAAAGTTTTGGTGGGATTGCTTGGCAGGTTCGAATAACTCCCATACAAGTCTAAAAGCTTATTCTTAAGATTTGGAAAAATAATAGAGTCAGATTCATGAAACTTGGCAGTTGTGTGTCGAGTTATAGGTCAGATATATTTCTGAAGTTTTGGTGGGATTGCTTGGCAGGTTGGAGTAGCTCCCATACAAGTCTAAAAGTTTATTCTTAATATTTGGAAAAATAATAAAGTCAGATTCATGAAACTTGGCAGTTGTATGTCGAGTTATAAGTCAGATATATTTCTGAAGTTTTGGTGGGATTGCTTGGCTGGTTCGAGTAGCTCCCATACAAGTCTAAAAGTTTATTCTTAATATTTGGAAAAATAATAAAGTCAGATTCATGAAACTTGGCAGTTTTGTGTCGAGTTATAGGTCAGATATATTTCTGAAGTTTTGGTGGGATTGCTTGGCAGGTTCGAGTAGCTCCCATACAAGTCTAAAAGTTTATTCTTAATATTTGGAAAAAAAATAAAGTCAGATTCATGAAACTTGGCAGTCGTGTGTCCAATTATAGGTCAGACATATTTCTAAAGCTTTGGTGGGATTGCTTGGCAGGTTCGAATAACTCCAATACAAGTCTAAAAGCTTATTCTTAATATTTGGAAAAATAATAGAGTCAGATTCATGAAACTTGGCAGTTGTGTGTCCGATTGTTGATCAGATATATTTGTGAGGTTTTAGTGGAATAGCTTGACAGGGCCGGCTACTTGCCATACAAGTCCAAAAACTTATTTTAAATATTCAATGTCCAATTATAGGTCAGACATATCCGTGAAGTTTCTATAGAATGACTTCACGGGTTCGTGTAATTGCTACACAATAACGAAAAGTGCAGGATATAATTCAATCGGTTTATACCGACTGAAACGTTTTTACTTGTTTTTAAATAATTTAGAATATTAGTTTTAGTTAATGTTTTTTGTTTTTTTTTACAGAAAAAAAGAATCTGTATTTTAGTAAATATTACGTACTGTGAAGTCTTTGTTTTACTTTCCTGTTCTTAATTTTTTGCGTGTTGGACAATACCGACGGCGAACACTTTCTGTTGGTAGTAACGATGACGATCTTTTATTATGAGATGATTTTTATGATGAGTTGTAGCTTATATAAACCTTATGAGATGTTTTTTTTGTATTTATTTTTTTTAAACAATATACATATGTATGTGTTGCTATTTTTTTATATTACATGTGAGCGATGATACAATTGCAATATATATGTTATGTGTAATATATATTTTTTATATATCCGAAAAATATTTATTATATTTTTTATGAACATATGAGGAGGTTAAAACAATTTTGTAAATTATGCTAGAGTTTATTTAATATTAGACTAGACTTAAGTATTTTAATTTGCAACCATGTACACGTGTGTATAATTTTTTGTGTTGGTAGTATTAGGTTAATTATATTTTAATGTCGTTTATTGTAAATGAAAATTAATTTTTATTTTTATTTATTATTTTTTTTTTATTTTTTTATAATTTTTGTTTTTTTTTTGGTATGTTTAATTGATAAATTTTTCAAAATTTTTCTTGAATTTTAACTTAAAAATTTTTTTTTAATTTTTAAGCTTATTAAAAATGTTCAATATTCATGTATATGCACTTAATGTATCATATACATGAATGCATATTAGCGTGATGTATTTAAAAAAGTACGTGTAATTTTTAATCCAAATTTATATTTTGTTTAAGAGACCATCTTTTATTTTTAATTTTTGAAATTTACGTAAATTCGTCAGCAATTGTTTTCACTAATATATTTTGTATTTTTTATTAATATTTATAAATTATTTTAAATTTTTGAATTATATGAATTTTAAAGTCGGGGTCACCAATGTGGTCGTCGCCGGCACTCATAATTTTTATTTTATTGAAACACTTTTTTTGATTTTTTACTTTACTTCCTTTTTGTTTTATTTTAATTCTTTTGTTATATCATTTAATTATTTTTCATTTATTATTATAACAATTATTATTTATTACATTTGTATGATTTATTTATTCGAGTACGTTTTAATTATTCTATTCTTTTAAATTACAAACCCTGCTACCTTGCCTGTTCAAAAACTAATAATGACGAAATTCTCTTGGAAATACAAGAAAAAATTCATGTTACACAATAAAGATTATTGAGAATCAATTCTCGAATAACTGCATTTCATATTAAAATAAAATGTGGTTGTTAAGTGACGAACGTACGTACATGCATGTATACCATAATACAAATAAATGTACTCTAGGGACCTATAATTACATACGGGGTGTTTCACCTGCCTAATATTTTTCTTCGCGTCACTACAACCTTAGGATCTCGCGGGCAAATAAGGAAATAACGGTGATAAACATTATATTATCTCTATAAATTATGAACTATAAAAAAAATATATAATTAACCATTTGTAATTTAACAAATTAACCCGTAAATTAAAATAATATACAAATATAAACAAAAATCAAAAATAAAATTAAAGTGTATGTGAAAACAATTCATAATATTATAGTGAAAAAAAATTAATAGAAATAAAAACAAAAGCAAAACAAATAAAAAAAATCTGATGTGGTCAGCACATAACCGATCGCAATGTGCATTTTCTAGTTAAGTGAAAATGTTACAGAATATTATAAAAATTACTGTTAAATACTTCTTTCCAATTTTTAGGGCATTGGTAAGCTTATAGTTAACATACCTAGAAAAATGTAAATTTGGCTCTTACTACAATTTAAAATTGTGCTACCCGAATTCCCTGAAATGCTCGCCAGTTAGTTTCGGTAATAACCAGAACTCAAATATCAAATTTCAAGAAATTCCATCACTTCATTCCGTAGATATGATGAAAAATGTTAAATCGGCCCGCAGATCGGTGTTCAATCCCGGATCTTTCCAACAAATCTATATGTTCATTACTTCAATACGAAGAATTTAAATATAAAATTTCAATGAAATCGTTTGATTATTTCACTTTATATACGCAAAGATGTATATTCGGCCCGTAGTAAACGTCCAGTTGCTGACACATGATTTCTTCCAAAAGTTAGGAAGTTTCGCGGAGAGTTGAGCAAAGCTTATATATGAAATTTCAAACAAATCGGTTGAATATATTCTTTAAAATGGTCAAAAATGTAAAACAGGCCCGCTAAAAAGTGCAGTTCCCGAGGCCAGACATATCCCAAAAGCTGATCAATCCGTGCCATGGCGGAAAAAAACTTACATATAAAATTTCATCAAAATCGGTTCAGCCGAACTTGAGATACACGCGTGCACACACAGACCGACAGACCGACAGACCGACGGACCGACAGGTTGCTAAAAATAGTTTATTTAAACTTCCCCACTATGGAGAAGTGCATTCCCAACGAAAACTCGATATGCAAAATTTGTTGCCATCGCATAACATACCTATTATATACACAATACGGTCAGTAAATATATATATATATATATTTCAATTTGGGAAAGTCAGAATCAAAAATTGTTGATTCAAATTGTAATATCAACAATAATATAATAATAGAGACAATCAGAGTGAACCACGACCAATAAGTGATCCTTTTATATATAATAACAGCAACTTTAATGGCAGACCTTATCATAAACCTGTACTAGTTATATATCAAAAACTGAAAAAGAACTACACCGCAGAAATAGCACCATGAAAACACCCAGATAAGTTATAATTTATAACTAAAATTTTTACAGCACATTCATACATTATATTATACCTTTATAAAAATGAAAAAGAACTGACAAAAAACTATGTAAGCTATATCTGCATAACTAATAAAAACTGTGCCTGTACCTCTGATATTCTATAAAAATAAATTGTCTTTATGTTCCAATATTATGTCTAATTAATAATGAATAATTGAAAATAATGAATTAATTTAATGAATGTGGAGACTTTAAAAGAATGACTGAAGGAATTGGGTTTAAATACAGGTGGAAGGAAAGTTGACTTGAAAGA